AGAGGGAGAAGCTGGCTTCCGGCTGAGCAGGGAGCCCGATGCGGGGCTCGATCCCAGGACCCTGGGACCATGACCTGAGCCGAAGGCAGACGCTTAACGACTGAGCCACCCAGGCATCCCTTCGCCATCATTTTCATGTGTCTATAGCATTCTGGAGGTTTTGGAACGACTACATATTTAATCGAATCCCATTTATCCTTCAATGTCTCCCTACACCTTTCTCAAACACCCATCCCCTGAACGTTTCCGGACTTATACACCTACAATAATTACAATTCAAAGCAGCCCTGGCTGCTTTCTGGACCTTGATTCTCCAACAAGATCACAAATGCCATGAAGGCAGGTTTCTATCTCATTTCATTACTTCCTACAGTGCCCAGAATAAGGCACCGTTCACAAGAGACGCTAATACACATCTGTGGATTCATCCGGTATATGTGTGTTTGTACTGACATCCTGGCCTCACTTTGTAAGCACTCCGTGAGCCACGCCGCCTCCACCTGAACATCCTTCCCTCGCAGGCTCAGGTCCCCCCAGAGGAAATTATGAGATTTGCCCAGGAATTCCCTTTTGGGAATATAATACACACTGCCTTGCTGGCTTTTAAAAAAAATGTTGCCATCGATACTAATTTACAACGTATTTATTTTTCTCATTGTTAGTAGGCAACAGCAAGAACTAACGTTTTCAGAAAAAAATTATTGGACAAAAACACAAAATTGAGAAAATGTCTCCGTATCTATTAGCTATTTTCTTTTAAAGACTTTATTTATTTGAGAGAGAGTAAGAGAGAGAAGGAACGGGGGAGCAACAGAGGGAGAAGCAGACTCCCCGCTGAGCAAGGAGCCCAGTGCAGGCAGGACTCGATCCCAGGACCTTGGGATCATGACCGGAGCCGAAGGCAGACGCTTAACTGACTTAGCCACCCAGGCACCCATATCTATTAGCTATTAAAAGTACCTATTAACTTACCTGTTATCCTGAAAACTAGGGATGGAAGAAGGACCTCAGTTTTAATAATTGTAAAAAAAAAAAAAAAAAAAAAAAATCATATTCCAGCCCTTGAACACCAGGAAAGATGGCCTGTGGCCAGATGGGTTAGCAAATTAGAGTGTCACCCAAGCAGGTCTGAACCGCCTGGTCCGTACAAGAGGAAAAAGGATCATTAAGGTTCGGTGAGGATGTGAGGAAGTCTCAGGGCACAGGCCATCGTGTACCTGGTCTCTCAAGGAAACAGGCTGCTTCCCACCCTCTTTTCTCAGCTCACCTCTTTTCTCTGGGCTTTGACCTTTTTCCCTTGTGGTTTACAAAACTGGCAATGAAACGCGTCAACCACTTTGGAAAATACGGATTTAACAGATTATTCAAATTTCCTCTTTTTTCAGAAAGAGTGAACTATTATGAAGCGGAGTCCCTCAAAATATGGAGATGTCTAGGGGCGCCTGGGTGGCTCAGATGGTTAAGCATCTGCCTTCGGCTCAGGTCATGAACCCAGGGGCCTGGGATTGAGCCTCATGTCCAGCTCCTGGCTCAGCGGGGAGCCTACTTCTCCCCCTGCTTGTGCTCTCTCTCTCTCCCTCTGTATCTCTGTGTCTCGAATGAATAAATAAAATCTTTAAAAAAAATTAAAAAAAATATGGAGATGTCTATTTTTTTTTTTTTTAGAGAGAGATAGTTGTTTATGCTAATAGGTCCATTTAGAAACCAAAGATGGAATGATTCATTAGCTAGGTAGTAAAGCAGTATTAGGGAAAGCTTAGTCCATGATACCATGTGCATCAGAGGAACCTGGGAGCTTGTGAACGCCGCATTCCCAGCCCTGTCATGGACCTCTGCACTCAGGATCCTGGGAGGGCCTAGACTTCTCCATTTTTACCTGCAATCCAGGTTCCTCTGACACCCACCGAAGCTTGACAATCCCTGCATTACAGTACACGAAGCCCAGGAACAGATGCGCCCTTATATGTCATTATAAACAAACAGTCCTGACTTCTATTCTTGGCGACTGGTGGGAGGGGGAAGGAAGTTCTTTGAAAAGGCTAGCAGGTGGGGTTAAAACTAGCAACGGAGAAGCATGTGGGCTTTCTTTTATTTCTAAGGAAACTGTGAAAAAGAATATCCTGCTGGTCAGGAAATCCAGGTCAGGAGGAATGGCTTATCTGACTGCCCCAACCACCTCCCTCCCAGCCAGCCAGCATCATAAAAGGCCTTCCACTCTCTGGAACCCCAAACCACCAATGGTCCTTCCCGCCTTCTTCCCAGCCCTGGAGTAAGAATTTTCCCTATCATGATGGGGGCATGGTGAGACGCACTCTCTTCTTTCTTACCATTTTCTTCCACTTCATCCTGCGGTTCTGATACCAAGTCTTCACCTGCAGTTGAGTGAGTCCCAGAGACTGGGCCAAGTCCAGCCTAGATGGCGTGAGATACAAAGGAAGGATGAGGAAGGAGGAAAGGGGCAGCAGGGATGGGGTCCTGTGGACTAGCTCCAGGCACTGCTACCAAAGCGTGGACTTCCCCCATTAAACCAGTTCTTCCCCCAAGAATCTCATGGATGAAACTCTGAGAACCTAAGAAACAGATGCCTATAACCCAAGGACACCTGGGGCCATCATCCTGGAAACATTCACTGTCTGCACGGGACCTGAAAAGGATTTCTCAGCCTTGATCGCAAAGTCCTCTTTCTGACCTGACAGAGTCTTTACTGGGATCCCATACAAAATGAGGACTCTGCCCCCAAATCTAAACTGGAAAGGAAAAGTAAAGACCTGCCATCCTTGTCAAAATCCTGCTTATCACCCCAGATGCAGCGCAGACCCCTCCTACAGGGAAGGCTCCCCACCCCCATGACACCTCCCACAGGTTCTACCCTCTGGACCCTCCCACTGGTCAGCCATCACCTGGGTGGCTCCACGTTCTCAAGGGTTCTCTGTTTCCCACGAGTACTTTCTGCCTTCCTGACTCAACTGCAAGGGCTTCCTTTCTGTCCACAAAAGTGCCTATCAGGTTCTTAATCCAGACCAAGGGCTCAAAAATACTTTCCAAAGGATGGATTCATTCACTGTAGCTGCCCTAAACTGTTATAATGTTGGGTTCCAAAAGAAACATTCAATCTGTAGCCCCTCCTGCTTCCCATTCTACTGCTAACCGTGGTTCTGCATTTCTCTGCAGCCTTCTGGAAAGTCCTGAATGTCAAAGCCATTCCTGGGAAGTGTGAGGTTGGAGCTACTTCCAACAACACAGCAACCGTTTCCGGAGAACCGTGGCATCCCAGGCCCCAGGCTCAGCCCCCGACCTCTGCTGTCTTATTTATTCCTTTCATGACGCTGGGAAGTAGATATAATCATTCCCATTTTATGGATGAGAGATCTGAAGCTTGGAGAGATTAGAATCTCTCGGTTACCATGGCCAAATCCTGTCTGCTGCCTGTTTTGTAAATAAAGTTTTTAGTGGAACACGGACACCCATTTGTCTGGTACTGTCCACAGCTGCTTTCCTGCTCCAGCCTCGAAGGTGAGTGGTTGTGACAGAGTCTGAAATTATTTTCTCTCTGGCCCCGTACAAGAAAAACTTTGCTGACCCCCGGTAGATGATCCTAGAGTGGAGGTGGAGCCAGGATGCAAACCTACTTACATCTGGCTTGTATACCTCCGCCTGTATGGGGGCTCCCCTCCACCCACCATATTTTTGCACAAGTTTAATCTGTCAAAGCAAAGCTCTTGCTCTGGTTTTTGAGGAGAAAAGGCGAACAGCCCAACTGGAGCATATTATATGAGAAAGAGAACCAGGCTTCCAAACTCAGTCCTCAAGACTACAACTATGGACCTATATTGAGAAGAACCCCAAGTCTACTACCTGAGCGCCAACTGGAAGGACCACCTCCCTGAGCCGACGTCAGCGGTCGCCCTGTGGCTCCAACCCTGGTCACTGCAGCATGGATTTCTAGAGCAGCAACCTGGGATGGGCACTCTTGCTACAGGGAACAGGGTCATCACTTTCGAAGTCCTAGATGTCTGAACATTACATTTTGTGGCTCTGAGGTCCCTTAGGTCCCATAAACTTTCACAGCCACAAGCCTGAGCCATGGGGACTCCCGGGTGTGCGTTCTCGGCCTCAACTTTCTCTCCCCAAGGAGTGCTGAGCAACGTCCCACGAGAGCAAGGCCAGTGGGTATCGGCAGTGAAGGTTCCAGGTGCTGATTGTTGGCACTGTGGCTGCTCAGCCCCCTGCTCCGACCAGAGGACACGATTTAAATCTCCAATAAGAAAAACAGTCTTCCTTCCAAAAAAGCCTCAGAACCTTACATCTGCATTCACATATATCTGGTTGTCCCAGGAAAAGAGCTACTGGAAGCTAACAGTTTTACTCAAAGTGATTAACAGACTGAAGCTAATAAATTCCCAGCACCAACAGCACTTAGCTCTCCCCACTAATGAAGCGCTGCTTCCCAAGCAGCCATTCATTAAGAACCAAAAACCCAGGGGGCTGTCCCACAGGCTTCTGGTCTCCCAGGCTCCCACTGTGCCTTCCAGGCCGGTTCACCTGAGGCCATCAGGTGCATTAGTCAATGGCAGGCTCAGTTCACAGCTCTGCTGCTGCATTAGCAAATGGTGTTAGCTCACTTGGGAAAAATGCACGCCTGACTCACTCTGGCTACAGAAACGAACTTCACTGTCATCAGCTTTCTCTCATTACCTGCCACCGTTACAAATTCTCACTTCCCTGCATATTCGCTTAAATGGGGTCACCTAGGAAACTGGAAAAACAAACAAAGGGGAAGAGGCAGAAAGCTGTGGGAGGAGGGAGTGCTCATGGCCCTGGTCACGTAGGGAGGTGAGGAACATGGGAGAGGGCGGGTTAAGGCGGCAGCTTCCATGCCAGCCAGATGGTGTCCTTCTCCCCAGGCAAGTGAATCAGTCCTGCGTAGGTCACCTGAGAGGTGCCTGGGCAGGTATCAGGAAGTCCCAGGAGCGTGATTAGGAATGAACATTTCTGTTAAAACATTCTCTGACTTCTAGAAAATAAGCCTAAAATTCTACCCAGGCCTGTTGAAGCCCTTTCGGTGTACTACCATGCAAGTCATAAATAATGGCACCCACCTCCACTGGCTGCCCAACTCCCCGAGGCTCTCCATTACCTCCTGGGGGCACCAAAATAGCTCCTGGTAACTGGGGATCCCTTCTGTCAATCCCCAATTCACAGCCGCATCTCCACTGTCAGGCCAAAGGCTCCCCAGATGCTCACGTCCAAACAGAACTCACTCTTTCCCCCACCAAACCCACTCTGTCCTCTGCCTTGCAACTTCGGTCCTGGTATCCCTGTCTACGCCGTGGCCCAATCCAGGAGGAGCAGACTTCCCAGCTCTCTCAAGTCTGTCCATTCCACCTTCTAAACTCTTCTCCAATCTACTCCCCTTTCTCTGTGCGCACTGTCACCACCTTAATTCCAGTCTTCAGTGATGATCCCTGGGCTCCCTCCCACCCCCCTGCTCCATTGCTTCCCTCTCAAATCAACCATTTAGGGTGCCACCAAAGCAAGGAGTCTAAAATGTAAATCTGGCCACGTCCCTTCCCGTTCTTGCTGGCTGTCGATGAAGACAAAGTCGGCATTCTTTGGCCAGGCACGTGAGCCTTCCCACCTCCAGTCTCATCTCCTGCCAGGCTCCCATTTGCCCCTTAGCCTGGAGACATCATGACCGCCTGCAGTTCCCTCGATGTGCCCAGTGAGACGTGCTTCTGTGCCTGTGTGGGCCATTCCCTCTGGAGTCAAAGCTCTTAAGTGTTGCCTCCTCTGAGATGCCTTCCTGAGCCCCATCTGACACACTCAGCAACGTCTCTGGGTTCCTCCAGCCCTTGGGAACACATTGGCACCAGGAACTGTGCCCTGTGTTGTGGGTATTTGTTGTCCATCCTTCCCTAGGATCTCCTCCAGAGCAGGACTCTTGTCTCCTACGTTCTGGACTCACGGCCTCTGCCGCAGTGTCTGGCCCCCAGCAAACCCCCAGCACACAGCTGATGGGGGGCTCGATTAAGTGAATCAGTAAACAGATGCCCTTTGATCAGTGATTTGTATACTCCCCTCTCTCTCTTAAATTTGGGTCAAACAGCTACTAACTAGTTTAAGAGATGCATGTGAGTTTCCTTCCCTTTCTCTCTAATAGGACTAGAGACAAACCTAATACAGACAAGGAAGTGAGCAAAAGAACAGAAAAAGGACCTGGAAAATCCTCCCAACAAATAGGATCACATATTAGCTCAGCCATCTCCGGCCAGATCCCCAGAATGAGTTTGAAGGAATAAGATAAGATACATTCTTGCATATTTTGTAGTTAAGATACTAAATTAAAGAAATAAGGTGAGATATTAAGGCCTCTGAGTAAGTCAGCGGTCACAGTCCCCTCATCTGGCTCTCAAAGGCATTTAAAGTAGGGACTCACATCTGGGTCTTGCTCGTCTCTCAGCCAAGTGGTTCTGACTTGATATCCACCAAATTTACCAGGACATCTAACAGCTCCTCAACCGAATCAATCCAGGCCTTCCCAGTCAAGAGCCAGGCCCGCAGCCTGAGCCAGCTGGCAGTCGGAGGGTGGGAGAAGCCTGAGAAGGTCACAGGTCCCAAATGCCCAGTGAACCCCACTGCATCTGATCCTACTGTAAGTGGCTTTAAACCCCAAACCTATTTTCCAGCTCAGAGCCTGGGCAACCATTCACTAAACTTGATTTTGCTTCTTATGGTGGAGTAGTTAAGTTAAATATGGGGATACAGCCGGGGCTTAAGTGTGATGCGTGCAGGTGGGCTGGGCTGTGTCGAACAGGCTTGAGATTACATAAGCCAAGCACGAGACTCCTGCCATTGTGAGGAACCTCTCTCTAACACAGTCCTTGTGGCTCTCCGTCCCACCCCGAGAGCAAAAGGCATCTCCCCTTCCCCCAGGGCCTTCCCTGCGGGCAGTCCTCTCCCCGGGTTCTCACCTGTCCGGGGTGGACAAGTACTTCTGCTTCTGGAACTTCTTCTCCAGACCCATGAGCTGTAGCTCGGTGAAGATGGTACGACTCCGGCGGGGCTTCTTCTGCCGCGGTGTGGGCTGCTCCGGCTCCGACTCGCTGCTGCCGAGAGCCTCGCCCCCTGGGGCCTCGGCAGAGGCAGCCTCGGAGGCCGGGTGGCAGGACAAGGCCTGGGCAGCTCCTGGGGGGGCGGGGACCAGGTGGGAGATGACCGCGGGCTGTCGGGTGATCACTGAGAGGAGAGGGTAAGCCCGAAGGGAAGCGGGGCCTAGAAGACAAACAGGGCGGCAGGTCATGAGACGAGCCAGGGTAGAAGGGAGCCAGGGGCACTCAGAGGACCACTCGCCCACACCCGTCGGATGGGTGGGGCCTCCTGATCATAAGGAGGTAGAATGGAAGAAGGGGAAGAGGACCTAGAACTGCTGGGTGAGCTGTGCTCAGCCTGATGTGTGCCAACATTCGAGCTCCCGGCAGCCAAGAAGAAGTTCCTGAAATTCGTCTGGTTTTAAGTGGGTATGTCCCCACCCCCTCTCTTTTAAACCCCTAAATTCTGGCTTCAGAGATACGGGTCAATAGTCTGAGCAGATGAAAAGTAGTTAGAAAAAGCTAGAAACCCACACTGAAGAATAGAGAATAGATTTGTAATATACAAACTGCCTGAGAACCCCCACTGGTCTTTATAAAAATACATAGTTGCAACAATGAATTCCTGCTGAGAGGTCTCCAGACCTTGAATGGTGACATTTTTCAGAGCTGGAAGGAAGCTTAAAGATGATTTAATTCAACTTCTTCATTTCGGAGACAAGACCAAGTGAAAGGCTCAGTGACTTGCCTAAGATCACAGAGCTAGGAGTAAGAAGATCCAGGAGTCAAACCAAGTTCTTCTGGCTTAAAGTCTAGAGCTCTTATCACATCCTGAATCACATGGATACATCAATGGGGGTGGGGGGCAAACAGAAATCGATTTTAATTCACATGAAAACTCAGATCCATTACGACCTGCGGCCTACAGCACCGTGTGGAGGAGGACGGTCAGGCTGGGTCAGAGCGTGGCTGAGGAAAGAGAGCGGAGTTTGGCTGCCGATGTCTGCCGTGGGCATTTGCGGGGGTGTATGGTGGCATGTAAGCTAGTTATGTGCCACTCCTGCCTTAGGAATTTCCAGGCAGAAGTACTTTTCTGTCCAAGACTCTGTTATGTCTTTAAAGTTCAAGAGCTCTTGCTTTTCGTTATTCAATAGAATCGTGTTTACAATGTCATAATCATTACCTACATAAGTCATTTTCTCTCACTGGGCCTCAGTCTTGCCATCCATTATAGCGAGTAAAAAAAGTACGTAATTTCAAGGACTTCTTCAAACTCTAATATACTGATGCCATAAAAGTACCTCTCATCCCCAGCCCATCTTGATACCTGATGAAAATAGGGAAGACTCAGGGGTCGCCCTTCGAGACTCGGCCCAGCCCTGATAGCTCACTACAAGGGCAAAGGCAAGCCTGTGAGCCAACCAATGCTCACACTAGCTCTGGGTTAAAACCAACCCATGTCACAGAAACACCCAGTTGCTACTTGTATATTGTATTTCCCTCCTCTGGGTTGGCATTTCTCTTCTTATTCATTTCCGTGCTTCTGTTTTGGGCCCCTGTCATTGTTATTAAAACAGGTAACTTCTCTTGTTCTTTGACTCCTTCTCATAAAGCCCAGTACAAACCACAAAGTTGTTAAATAATAAATCACCAATGGCTATGTCTTCCATTAACTCTCCAGCCAATGCTAACACTTGAGGTTTTGTGTGGTGGATTCTTTTTGAGGGGAAAAAAAAATCATCTGGGAATGAATTATAGCAAGAAAATGAGGATACCTGGGCCTGTGGTTTGGGATCTCCCACGATACATTATGAAATGTCACTTCTTAAAAATACTATCTGAAAGCTTCTTTACAGGTACAATGTAGTTCTCATCTCAAATCACTTTATTCCTTTAATTCTGACATTTTTAAAAAGGAACTATCTTTAGGAAACAGGCTAATTTAACATCTAGAAGCTTAGGAGCTTACCAGTATAGGAAGCGGCTAGTTATCTACCTGTCCATAAGGTTTTTAATCACCAGAGTTTGGGCTTTCTCTTTTGTAAGAGAGTTAAACTTTTTTTCCCCTAACATTAAAAAATATTTGGGACGTGTGGTAATATCTGGTGCTGGCCAGGATATGGGGAAATGGGTATTCAATATTGTTGGTGAGAGTGTAAATCAGTATAGTCTTTTAGAAAGACAAACTAAGCAATACCTCTCAAAAGTACTGACCAGGCAATTCTATAATTTGAGACCAATTTTCCCACATGCACAAAGACTTATGTACAAGCATATTTACTGCAGCCTTGATTATAATAGTGAAACAGGGAAAACAACCCACATAGCTACAACAAAATGATTAAATAAATTGTGGTACCTCTATAGTATGAACTACAATGTAAGCACTAAGAAGACCTATGTAAATAGATAGATAGATTACATGAAAAAATAAACTAAAATGGAAAAAAATTCTAAAGTAAATTATTGAGAGAAAATAAAGGTATGGAACAATTTGCATTCCATAAAAAAAATCTGGATGTGTGCCCGCATTTATAAATGCATTGTTTTTAAGCCCAGGAAGTTAGTCACCAAACTATTAACAGTCATTACCTCTAGAGAAGGCGTGGGAGTGAAGTAGGGCGAAAAGTAGTCTACATGTATGACTCTAATCCTGTATTCAATCCTGTCATACATGTTTATTGAGCATCTACTATGGGCTGTGCTCCGTTCTAGAGCAGTGAATAACATCAAGTCCCCACCTTCAGGAAGCTTACGTTTCAGTTGGGAAGGTAGACAGCAAACAAACAGATACATGTATGTAAGGCCAGGTCGTGATAAATTCTATGAAGAAAAACAGCAGATTGTGAAGATGGGGGAGGTAAGGAGGAGCAAGCATTTCCAAGAGGGGAGTCAAGGAAGAGGTAACAATTCTAGCAGATAGGTGACTCAGGGGAGAGCAGAACATTGGGAAGGGCACCCCAAGGGCAGAGAACCAGCTCAAGCAAAGCCCTAGAGTGGGAATGGTCTTGTGTTCAAAGAGTAGCAAAAAGACAGAGTGAGCAGGGCGGGGGGAATGTCACAGGAAATAAAATGTGGAGAAATCTGCTGTAGTCAGATCACGTAGGGTCTTGAAGGCCAGTGCAAAGAGTTTGGATTTTCTTCAGAATGTGATAAAAGCAATGGCGAGATCTGAGCTGGAGGAGGACATGATGCACTTTGCATGCTAAAGATCCCTGTGGCTGCCGTGCGGGGGACTGAGCACAGGGGTGAGCGTGGAAGCTGGGACGCAAGCTGGGAGGTGAGGCACCCTTCTAGACCAGGCACCACTGTGGCCTGAGCCAGCAAGGGAGCAGCTGCATAGTGAGAGGTGGTCCATTCAGTGTGTGCCTTCCAGTGAGGGGTGGAAGAGGCTGAGGAAGCACTGAATGTCCCGTCTGAGCTACAGAGAGTGCCATGTCAGGTTTGGGTTTTTGGCCTTGGCACACAGAGGAATGACGGTGCCATCTGCTAAGAAGGGAAAGACGGGACGAAGAGCAGACCAAGATCTCTGTTTTATTTATTTATTTTTTAAAGATTTTATTTATTTTGAGAGAGAGAGAGAGAGAGAGAGCGCACAAGCAGGGGGAGGGGCAGAGGCAGAGGGAGAAGCAGGCTCCCTGCCAAGCAGGGAGCCCGATACAGGACTCGATCCCAGGACCCTGAGATCATGACCTGAGCCGAATGCAGATGCTTAACCAACTGAGCCACCCAGGGGCCCCCAAGATTTCTGTTCTAGACAAGCTGCTGTTACACATGGTAGATGTGCTGAACAGGCAGCTACACGTACCAGTCTGGAGTTTAGAGAAGAACTTAGGCTGGAGACACAAACTTGACTCCTGGGAGTACATGTGGCTCACAGAACCACAGGATTAAATGACACCACCTACAGAGCAAGTGAAATAAAGAAATAAAGAGATCCAAGGTTGGAGCCCTGGGGTACACCAACATCTGAGGTCATAAAAAGGAAGAGAAGCCCATCGAAGGGACCAATGAAAGGAAGCAGAGAAGTAGTAGGAAACCACTCCCTAGGCGATACTTCTGTAGTACACTTGACCTCTAAACAATGTGGTGGCTAGGGGCACTGACCCCGCAGTTGAAAATCCTTGTATAAATTCTGACTCCCCAAAAACGTAACTGCTAATAGCCTACCAGTGACCAGAAGCCTTACCGATAAGCAGTCAACACATATTTTTATGTTACATTTATTACATGCTGTATTATTACAGTGAAGTAAGCTAGAGAAATGTTAAGAAAATTGCAAGAAAAAGAAAATGCATTTGCAGTACTGTACTGTATTTATTGAAAAAAATCTGCAGCTAAGTGGACCCATGCAGTTCAAGCTCTTTTATTCAAGGGTCACCTGTTATTTAGATTTTACTACAAGCATGTATTATTTTTGTAATTTAAAAAAGGAAGAGTTAGACTAAATGAACTTCAGTTTTGTTCTCATTGTAAAGTTTTAGTATATGTCCAATTTGTCAAAAGAGAATTTTCATGCCCATAAATAGTTAAAACTTCTTCTAAAAAGCTGGGCAAAACAAACAAACAAACAAAAAACCCAAAAAATCCCACAACCAACCAACCAAACAAAAAACCTCAACAACCTAGAAATCCCAGCAATATATAAAATATGTTTGGTTTTATGACACTGCTAGTAAAACAAATATTGTGGTGTTCTGAGCAAAGGGGACTCTCTCTTTCAGCTACTCCTGAGCCAACGGGTTGAAGGAATTTTCTCCTTTCATCACAGAAGATGTTTGAGTTCTCATGCTAGGTAGAATCATATTCTTTCTTTTAAAATAAAAACTGTATAATGTGGAGAAGTGATAGTCTTTAACAAGTGGTCCTGGAATGACTAGATACCCATATGCAAAAAAAAAAAAACAATGTTAACCTAGAACTCACAACTTATTTTAAAAATCAAATGAAAATGGATCATAGATCCAAAAGTGAACATAAACTTATAAAACTTTTAGAAGAAAACATAGGAGAAAAATCTTTATGACTTTGGGTTAGACAGGGAATTCTTAGCTTTGACTCCCAAAGAATGTCACATTAAGGAAAAAGGTGAAAAGCTGGTCTCCATCAAAAGTAACAACTTTTACTTGGCAAAAGATACTATTAAGAAAATGCAACTCCAAGCTACTGACCAGGAGAAAATAT